CATAAAGATTTACACCCTCGGAAACCCTGTACAGGGTCGCTATGGGTCGGAACCGACTCGACGGCACTTAACAACAACAAAAGTATTTCCATAAGGAGTCCTGGTGGTGCAGTGGTTAAGTGCTGGATGAATAATCGAAAGGTCAGAAATTGGAGCCCACTAGGTGCTCCAAATGGAAACCCTACTTTGTCCTATAGGGTCACTGTATGACTTGGAATCGACCAGAAGATGCACAACAAACATTTCCATGGTATGACTGTACCACAGTTTGTTTAACCATTAACCAATCCACTGAAGGATATCTGTATTGATTCCAGTTTTGAGCTATTATGAATTTCTCAAAGCAATAATATAAGCATTAATATGCAGGCTTTTGAATGAACTTATGTCTTCATTTTTCTAGGATAAATACACATGCAATTGCTGGACTGTATGGATAGAATACCTGGTATGGTGCTGTAGACTTTAGGGGAGACTGTTTCAATTTAAGTTTTAAAGATTATCACAGGACAGCAGTTTCAGGGTTTCATCAAGGCTCCTTCACTCAAAAAAGGGTAGAGTCAATGAGAATTTTTAATTCTGTTCTGTATTTCCCCTCTTTTGGTCATAATTCTTCTATAGAATGTTTTATTTTTATTTTTTTATTGTAATTTGGGTGAAGGTTTACAGAACAAATCAATTTTCCATTCAACAAATCATACAAATTTTGTTTCATGCCACTCTTTGTCCCACAATGTAGCATCACTCATCCCAATTCCTCCCAATATTTCCTGTTTCCATTCTTCTTTCTTTTCTATCCCTTACTGCTTAGTCTTTGGGCAAATGCTGCCTTTTGATCTCAAATTTTTGATTATTCTAAGGAATGCATACCTGCCTAGTGTTATTGTTCACTTTGTTGATCTATTAGTAGACTGATGATGGCTAATGGCCATCTCAAGAACGCTCAAGAGTTCTACCAGTATCTATCTAACCAGTGAGCCTGGTTATTTTTATACTTTTGAGTTTTGTTCTGTATTTTGCTCTCACTCTACCAAGGACTTTATATTGTGATCCCTTTTAAATTGATTAGTAGTGGTAGCTGGGTACCTTCTAGTTCTTCTGGTCTTGGTCATGGAGGATGAGGTTCTCTTAGTCCGTTGGATTAATTGTTTCCATAGACCTTTGATATCTTTTATTTTCTTCACTCTTCTTTGCTTCTAATGGGATGAAACCAATAGTTGTACCTTAAATGACCACTCACAAGCTTTAAGACCCCAGTTGCTACTCACAAACTTTGGATTTAGAACATTGTAGACTATGTTATGCCAGTTGACCTTGATGTTACCCAAGACTATGGTCCTGAGCCTCTAGACCTAGTGACTTATTTTCTCTATGTGTATTGTTATAGTTATGGTATTTTCATAACTTTTCCCTATATATGTTCTACTATATTCATACATATATTTGCAGCACATATAAATTCATATGTAGAAATATCCTCTGTCAAACTTATATATGGAGCCTTGGTGTAGTTCTGTAGGATAAACACTGGACTGCTGACCATAAAGTTGGCAGTTCAAACCCACCACCTGCTCCTTGGAAGCCCTATACAGGGTCCCCATGAGTTGGAACCGATTCGATGGTACTTAACATTAAGTTCCATTCACCTGCGCAGCTTGTATGTCTATTTATCCAATTGCAGATTATTGTTATTGTAGGATTGTGTATGTGATAGTATTTGCTTCTGTTGCCTTTAACTCTTATATTCCCTTCAGTGTCTTCCTTTTCCTTTATTGTTTTGTGCTGACATCCCCCTTATTGTATATTGCCTTCCCTTTCACTTAAGTTAATATGTGAGTCCTGGTATTGTAGTGGGTTACAAGTTGGGCTACTAACCACAATATCAGCATTTAGAATCTGTCAGCCACTC